TAAAGAAAAAAAGAGTAACATTTATCAAATACAGATAGGAAAGACATTGTATCTTTTTTATCACTATAAAAAGTACTATGCAAAGCAGCCGATCTAAATCTTTGCATAACTTTAAATATCTGACACGTAACAAAACCGTAACAAACTCTTTAGGCGTCATCAAAAGCCCACTTAGATATATTATCTGTCTTCTTAGATTCTTGAACTGCTATAAACTAAATGTTTTACAGATAAGTTATGTTAAATATGATTTTTTTCACTAATGATATTTATCAGTATATCACTGATTCACTGTGAATGCATAAATTCATCAAATTTATTAATAATCTCCTTCTTTTTTTAAGTTGGTTAAAAACCAAACTACTCGCGTAGTACGTTCATCATATTATTCCTTTGTTCCAATGACTCGCCATCAAAGAGGTTCCGGTTTCGATTTCTGGCCGGCCCAAATCAGGCCGAGAATCGGATCTACTATCGGATATTTCATTTCATATATACCTACAGATACTACATGAAATTATCTTCTCTATTAAATCTCCAGTCTGGAGTGGTACCTTCATTATTTCATTTTTTAATAAAACAAAGCAACTTGGGCTCTAAGTAATCTTTCTGTGAAATTGTTGTCTCACATTTATTGAAACGTGAAACAGTTGTTGATATTTTTTATGCGACAAAAAACCGGAATTCTCTACTTGAATGGAATAACCAAACTGAAGATTCCATATTTCTTTTTCGCTTCCAGATCAACATAGAAACAAGTACCAAGTATAAGTAAGTAAGTAGTAAAGAATTTATCTATCTAAAGAATTTATGTATGTAAAGACAATTTGAAATCTTTATCTCTATTAATATTGAAAATAAATTATTGAGGCTGCGTGTAAATAGCCGAGACCTTCAACCAGCTTAATCGTAAAGTTTGCGGTTATTAACGAGTTTAAAGGAATAGCGTATTAAAAAAAATATTATAAGAAAGAAAACTGTCCCGAGAATACACCCGATAGAACTCTGATATAAAATTGAAAGTACTTACCGAACTGATGCATCACCCGGATACGAACAGCCACTGCCGCACCGCCCACAATTAGTCTTCTTTCAGTAGTTGTTGCTTATGTTTTGTAGACATTTTATTGAAATATATAAATATTTTTCGGAAGGACACAGAGAAAAAAAAAAACAAAAGAAGAATGACAAGCAATTTTTTCTTCTTAATGCCGTCATGGCGTATATGCGGCCAGCGGTGAGGTTGCAAATGTAGTACAACCTCCTTTTAAGTTCCTAGCGCCCGAAAGTACACCAGATATTCTTTTAGTGGTGCACTAATATAGAAAAGAGTAAAGGAAAAAAAGAAAACAATAAAGCGGTTTTATTAGCAATTAAGTTTCTAACGTTATTGTTTGTAGGAGTAATCTTCAGAAATACTGATCCGATTCGATGAAAATTATTTCACCTACGGGTAGCTAATTAGGTAACTTATGCTATAGGCATAAGTAATTATAATTATCATTATTCACGCAGGCGAAGTAGCGGACTTATATAATAATACTAACCCGTTTAAACAAAAGAGCACTTTGCACCAATTGCTTCTCAATATTTTAAAGGAGAAAGTTCGTAGGGTTGGACGTTTGTTAATCCTTTACGTAAAAACTACTGAACGGATTTTGATGCTATATATATAGGCTACTATATGAAACTACAATATATGCTATATGAAACTTAATGGTTCCCTATGGAGAAAATTACCGTCAACATACGCGTGCGAACAACGAAATCGCTAGCGAAAAGCTAGTATACAATAACACTATAAATAATAGATTGGTTTATAATAAAATTGTCTCGTATTTGAAAGAATTTGTTTTGTTCACATTTTATATAAGTGAGTAACTATGTGTATCCTCTTAATTTGCAGGTACAATACTCGTTCACCTTTGTATGGATACAAGCATGCAGTTAAGGCCTTGAACTCACACATTCATCGTCGTTCAATTTAATTCGACACAAAAGAGTTCATATAGATAAATATAAAATGTTGAAACCGGAAGATACCAGATAAATAATGACGAGATATTTTTTCTTGGTTTGGAATTCGTTACAAATGTATGAATTGTCTTAAGCAAAATATAATATTGCAATTCAACCAATTTATTTGCATAAATATGGATATTACTTTTGGTCATAAATATCTAAAATATTATTCTTTAGATTTTGCTAATTGTTATTTAGAATACAAATATTAATATCGATACAATGTATTTAGAATGTCAATTTAAATATATACATTTATTAAAATCTACTCGTAACAATCAATAATAAATATCTTTTTAAATAATTTTTCCCACATATATATTTTTTAATTAATAGGTTTATTTTTTAATTGTTTAAAATGTACGTACGTGTCAATTAGTCATACGTGTAGTTTTATTTTAAAAATATCCCGCTAGTGACTGATAGTATGTAAATACTTCCAACTAAAGTCAAGACAGACCTTATTTTTGTAAATAAATCTATCATACTCTTAATTCATATGCTTCGCTCTAAGTCCATTGTTGTCTTTTCTGCCTTTTTCACTTTTGTAATCACATCTTTCGTTTTCATTTTTTTTATAAATATATTTCCTATTTCTTTCAACTTCGCCTTTTCCTTTCCTGTCCTAAACATCCTAGTAGACATTTGTAGTATTCGTAAATAATCACCAAAACTTGATTATAATAATTTAAAACAAACAAAACACGAAAAAGGTTATTTTGTTTGTAAAATAAACCTAACCTAACTAATAAGGACTAACTAAACCAGTCCTATTAAGATTAAAAGAAAATATCAAAAAACGTTATAGCAATAGAGGGATTGACGCGGATCAGTCAGTCCTTTTTTATTGCATTCCTTTGGTCTATGACAAAGTGTCTACAAGAAGCATAATAGTCATGTGGGGCAAAAGTACACACGTTGTGTCTAAATGTTTGAGAAATAGAATATGACAAAAAAAAAGAAATGTGTGATAGATCAGTACATTTAAATTATAATTTACCAATCGTTCACAAAGTATTTTAAATTCTAACAATACTATAACTATAAAACAGTCAGTGCAAGTTAAGCATGAATTCGATTCTTCTGGATTCTTCTATGCAGCTGTAAAAAAGCTTATTCAATTTTGGCGTCACATTGTTATTCATGTGATAAATCCTAACATTTAAAAACGATCGGTCATTATAGTTTTATGTTTTATGGTGAAAAGAGTTCAATTCCGCTTTTATTTATGCGACATTGGAGGCTACCATGTAATTTATAAATAGTTGTTTCCTTATGACTCTTGGATGACAATTACTCTGTCTTCTTGGTAACGAAACTCTTTACTATAATTGACTTTAAACTTTTGACTTCTCGCTGATATTTTTAATAATCGGAAGTAGAGAAAACCAGTCAAGTGTACGACGTATTTGTTGCAAATATTGTTTCATTTCTTTTTTTTTGTGCCCTCTTATCAGGATTGATGTAAAGTATGAATGTATGATTATTAATTACTAAACTAGGCCTAGTAGAAATAAATGTTGAGATTTTTATAATAAGCTTTCATTTGTTAAGTTACAGAATATAGTTTGTATATATTTTTTAAATGAAGTAAACCTTTTTCTATGTCGCGGGAGCAGGATTTATTACAAATATGTGGGGGGCGTGGCCCACTTTTCCTAGTAACATTTTATATAACACCCATTATATCCAGTCTACAAATTACCTTCTGATATAGGTATGTGTATCAATTTCGAAACAAATTAATTGTAACAAAGGGCAATTGAATAAGCAGGGACCATCGTTGTGGGCCCTGCTTATTCAATCTGGTCAAAGAGCTCAATGGTGCAGTGGTTAACGCGTTCGGTTGGAGATACGGTTGTTAAACAACTTTCACAAAAGCCATTGATAGGATGGGTGACCATAAATTATAGACTATCTCCTACTTCCTTCGGAAGGCTCGTCAATCTTTTGGTCGGCTACATATGTAGTCGTTGACACACCGTACCACACTGGGCCCGCGGTCGTAGTTCATTCTCCCTAATCGATACCATCCTTAAGGAAGGCCCGTGCCTCAGAATTTATGGGACATTTATAGGCTGGTGATCAGGTCAATTATTCATGTACGACTCTATTACTATGCAAAATCTTATAATATGTGTTATCTAAGACATCAATGGAAACGCGTCCCTGTAAAATAAAAGTTTCTATTAAAAATAATCATTTTTAATTATGCTTAAGACTCCAGTATAGTAAGCCAATGTGCACACAGTACACATGTGGGTAAAGCAGCAGGTACAGACTTACAGCTAGTAAAAAGGTTACAGGCAAGTAAAAAATAATTGTGTTCATTATATGAATTAGAATCTATATGAAGATAATTTTGAATTTGAATATCTTTTAAAGATTATGATAAAAAATATAAAACCGTGACATTTGAGAAAACTTAATCTATTTAAAAAAATTAAAAAATATTTTTGCATTACATTAAGTCTGCCTATGAAATATAAATTCTATAAGAATTAATCGTTATCTTGATATTTGTTGTATAAATGCGTTATAATGTAGATACCATGGAACGTCCAGAGAAACCTCCAGTAGATAGCTGTAAGCAGAAAATTGCTGTGTAATGTATTGAAACTAAAGGTAAGCACCCAGAAAATACATATTATTCTAATACTTAAAATTTAATATGTATTAGAATAAAACATTATTTTCTTTAACAAATAGTAATAGAAATGAGTTCCTACTTCGGTATTCATTTAACTAATCTAGAAACATGTCTGGACTTCTTAAAGAAAAATCATTTAAATAATAATGATATATGATATTAAGATATTATTGCCGCATCAGGGTGGCGCTTCGTTGTAGCGTGCTTCAAATTTAACTGTTCTTAGTTTTATAACGACGCCGACGAAAGTCGCACGCGCACGTTTGCCGCAAAAGCGCGTCTTTACGCGATACTAGATGAAACATCGCGATGTATTTGACATAAACGTTTAAATAAACAAAATTAAAGACTATTAGAATTTTTTACTACTGTTTATATTTAAAAAAAAAATAGGTGTTCGGCCATTTTAATTTGCAAAAAAAAACTAGATTAAATAAAAACTTTTTCGTTTTGTGTTGTGTTAATTTTTGAAGAAAATGGCGAATGTCCCTTTAGTGCGTCGTGCTATAGCTGGTGCTGCTCTAGCTCATGGTTCTCCTGCTCCACCTAGCCAGAATAATGCCATGCTAATAGAAGACCAGGAAAACCAATGGACTCCCGCTGCTTTGGAGAGAGCAGGATCAACTTTGAAAGCACTCAATCGGATGGCGAAACGTCCGCCTGTGCATATATTATTTGAAGATATCGCGTATACCGTCAGTTCACATAAAGGTAAATGAAAAATTATATAACATAAAGCTATAGTATTTGTCAACAAAAAATCGCAGGAGTCTTTTAAGACTTTTACTAAAATAATTATTAATTTAAGTTTTTATCACAATAAAAAAATGTGAAATCAAAGATGATAAATCAAAAATATATTTTATATTAATTAACATTTCCAAAATATACTTAAGTAAACTTAAAGTAAGTGTCATAACACAATTAAAACAATGATAATGGATTTAATTTATTATATATGTCAAAAACTGTTACCATGGAAGTGATAAACCGATAAACTATTCGACAAAGAGCCACCAAGGATGAAATATTGAAATCTTTACACGAACTAAAACATACAGAAAAACTTCAAAAAATTAACTGTTGCTCAGGACTGGACACGAAACTATAGTGTCATTAAAAATATCAATGTAAATGCAAAATTTATGAATTATAGATACGTGTATATAGTTTTTGTCTATCGTAAAAGTATTGCCAACCTGGTAAAAGTTGGAATTAAACCTTTAAATTAAACAAAATCTAAATTACGAAGCAGATGACATCTTAAAAGTGACTTCATAGATATTATGCAATGGATTTCACAAAATGAGAATGTTAGATAAAGTTACGTAATTTGCTAATTTACAAGAGTATCAAACAATTTTAGTTTACGATGATTGAATTACCAAAGCCCATTTAAGCGTGTGCTACTGCTCAGAAAAAAAGCAAATTTCAACCCCTGGTCCCCTCATCATAGACACGATCACAACGACAGCATAATCTAACACGCATGCTCGACAAACCTTCGACAACTTAATAATTTACACACGTTTGTTCATATTCTTTGGGATTTGGGCTTTGTTTTTTATTTACTTGTATAATCCAGAATTAAACTATTGCCCGAGTTAATTACACATAATTAGTCACAAACCGCAAACAAACCAGAAACACGAACAATTGAAAAGTTAAAAATTTATTTTATTTCATTTTATTTGGATTTCCGAAAGTGTAACTAAACGACGGACTGTCACAGAACTCCCGATTCAGTAGAGCAACCGTGCGTGGCTAAACTCAAATCATGCAGCCTGTCTATGAGACAAACAATGGATATATTGAGTAGAATAAAAAGGTGATAAGTCCCAAAAGGTTTTTATTCATTACTTGCAAAATATTGAGATTGTTACAAAATATATTCATATTCGCCTCGACTACAAAGTGACTAAAATATTTCTCAATTTACCCTATAAAAGAGACTAAGATGGCAATTTTAAGGGTAACGTTGTGATTTTTTTTTCTTTCGAGAAAATAACAAATCCATTATAAGTATGATGTTGTTTTGTTATATTTAATTGGAGCTTATTTAGACAATTGTGTAGAAAAGCTATTTAAAGTTACTCATTTTCAGTGGACCCACCTTCTTAAAGCAGTTTTAACATTTAAATGTAAATAAGCAATCTGGATCCAACATAATTTCGGGCAAAGATAAAAACTTTTTTAATATAATATCAATCTGATTAAGTTCTTAGACTTTGCTAGATGTTTTATAAACTTACTTTGCCGTCTTGCCATCTTTAAAATATTGAAATAATAATTTCACTGTTGAGACAGTTATTTTTTGTATCACATTCTTCAAATCGTAAAATAATTAGGTGATAGTCTTTGAAAGCCTAAGTGTAAAAAAATATTAGAATATCTTTCAATCCTATGTTTGCGATATGTAGAAGATGAAGAAGTGTAACTTAAAATTAAAATAAAATTTATATTTCAATAACCAGCCTCCAAACTATTTGTAAATTGTGAGTAATAACTCACTGACCCAGATACGCGTATTGAGTTACGCGTACAAACATCCTATTAAGTTTTATTAAAAAAAAACAATAAAAATAAAATACACGCACCTTTCATATTCGGCACCCACGATAGATCACGGCTTACGATGCCCACTGGTGCAGGTACTCGATAGCCGGCCAGTGTCCCGAAGTATGGTCTATGAGGTTCCACAGAGGTCGGTGCTAGGACCGCTCCTGTGGAACTTAGGCTATGACTGGGTGCTTCGTGGAACGCTTCTCGTCACTCAAGTAGGAGGACATTTGAAGCAACGAAGCACCAAACAAAAGTAGAGATGGATCTTGTGATCCGCCGTATTAGGATCCATCTCTACTTTTGTTTACTTGGTCTCAAAGTGGCCGTAAACCTCGAAGAGACTTATACGAGAGGGATTCTGCCCCAATGACCGGCCTGACTTGCCCTACCTACTTTGGAGCTGTGAAGGGGCGTGATCGGGATGGAAACCGGAGGGCGCATGGCCCCCCATGGGGTATCCACGATAAGGGTTATGCCTGTGTTCGTGTGTTCCTCATAACTGTAATATTCTGTTCGCATTTCATATTAATATTACCAATGTTTATACTACACAAATAAACTTATTAAACTAAACCAAATATTGGTTTGAATGTAATTTATATGTGAGTGAAATTAATATTGAGTAACATAATTAAATCAACATCTTTAACTCTAATGACGTTACCTTTGAAGCATTTTAGATAAACCATCCGCAAGGTGTTAGTTGTTTAAACAGACAAATGAACCGGAATAATTAATAATATATCTCACCAAACGGTTGGAGAGCAAGTCAAACAATATGGTGGGAAGCTTCAATGGGGTAACTTTATTCATTAGTTATGTGAGCAGCGCTAAAAGTCAAAGTTAGTACAGTTTCCAATAGAAATAGGACACGCATGGAATTCTCATCGGGGCCCTTAGGACGTTTGGTTTTTATTTATAGTTCAATTTGAGGAGGACCGGCGCAGGATGTTTTACACTCGTAGTTTAATAAAAGGAAGTCCGTTTGTTGGTGTCCATGTTATTTTGTTTGTTAGGATTCCATACCCAAAGGATAAAACGGGTACCCTATTACTAATACCTCACTGTCTATCTGTCACTAAGCTCGTGAACCGTGTATCTCATGAATTGTGACAAATAGACAGTTGAAATTTAGATATTTAATACAATAAACGTGTTTTTTGCCTGTTTTTCTCGATATTAATAATGCTTGAAATTAAACAGAATATGTATTTATATAGTAAATTTAAAAATAAATTAATTAATTAATATAAAACAAATATTTAAATGTGATATTTTCCGGTGCGGAAAACTTCGTGGACGAGTCCGACTCGCATTTGAATGGTTTTTTATTTTATTATGGACTTTGTCCACAAAAAGTAAAACAGAAAAGAAACAAAATTGTTTACGGAACTTTGAGGTTGTTGACTGTACAATAATAAATAACCATCAACAAATTAAAACAAACAAATTAAAATATTAAAAGGCAATTATGGCACCGTTAGCAAATTAATTTAAAATTCAAATAATACAGTTTATAAAATATCGACTTTTTTTCTAATATTCTAGCTTGTAATATTCAGTTCTGGTTTCGATTTCAAGTTGGGTCAACGTAAAAAAAATACTTTTCTTGATCTAATCATCTTAGAATATGAGCAATGTGTATGATATTCTCTATATTTATTTTTAACAACTGTTTTCCTGCGACTACACCCGCGTAAAAGTCTAGCTTCTAGGTGAAAGAATTTTCATGATCGGATCATTCCGAAGATTACCCCCTATAAACAAACAACCTCTTTACCTCTTTGTAATATTAGTATAGATTCATTTATTAAGTTTGATACAACAAAGTAAGAGTAATATATACATAGCATAAAACAAAGTTGTTCCCCGCTGTCTGTACGGTGAGATCTTTTAAACTACTTAAAGTTACTACATTAAAAACTAATGCGAAATTCGTCAATATTTTCAGTGTAGTTTTACTGTCTGAATGTCAAAAATAAAAAAAACATACCAAAGAGAGTAGTAATCCACTCAGATGTAGTACTTGGTTTATTTATACACTAGCTTCCCTTTATTATACATAAAAACCTTCCTTTTGAATCACCCTATCTATTAAAAAAGAAACCGCATAAAAAACCGTTGCGTAGTTTTAAAGATTTAAGCATGCATAGGGACAGAGAAAGAGACTGTTTTATATTATGTTATACCCATAGTGATAGGGATGATAACTAATTTCTGTTTATTTTCCCGTCAGGTAGATTAATGAAGAATATTGAACACGTATTTTTTAATTTTTAACGTGATATATTAATAATATTGTGTTGAAATGTTACATGACTTCACGCTTTCGTACATTTTCTACATATTTGTGACGTAGCTAACCCCTACTCCTGAACTTTAATGCCTATTATCTAAGTCATTTCTTGTTAAATTGAAACAAAAAAAAAATACAAATCTAATTTTTTTCTATTATCTGACTGACGCACTAAATAATTGTTTTTTTTTACTCAATCATCGTCCCTATTGTTTTGTGCTAACCACGACTCACTGATCGCCACTTAAATTGGAAGTACAAGTCTAGATACTTTGATTACATTGCGCGTCATTTATCACGTTAACAAAAGAGGAAATATTGCGTGTTCATACCATAGACAAAATGTTTAATTTTTTTCTTTTTACGAAGCGTCACGCGTGACTTTTTTATGTTTGGAAGCGTAGACGTCATTTGTTTTTATCAACAACAACTTTTGGTAAAAAAAAGAAAAACATTGTAGTGACCTCGTTCACTGCCGTTGCGTTCATGGCCTTACGTTCAAAAGCTAATGAGACACGTGGTAATTAGCCGTCATCAAGATATCTAATGACGTTCACTCTATTTAAAGCAATTTAATAAGCAATAAATAAGCAGACCGGTCAATGTCGACCTTGACAAAATGATTTTTGTAGATACACGGTCAGTTGCACTAACGACCATTAAAGGTTTAATAACGCCTTTAAGCCATAATAAATGTCAATTTGTATAGGTAATGACGCTTGAGAGCAATGTAAATTTTAATGGACGTTTGTGCAACTGGCTGACAGTCAACAACATATCAGAGTATGAAGAACTGTCGAATTTCACCAATCAATTTTAATTAAACCTTAATATGTAGATGACATCGGATATTTCTGTAGTTAACTGATATATTGGAGTGTGTATATGCCTACCCACGTCTTTTTTACTGCTACATCACTTACTTATGCTATATTTTATGCGGGGGCAGCTGCGCGAAAACGGCTCGTAATGTACAAGAACGTTGATTTAATATTCGCCTTTGCTCTAACTTGCATATTTCAATAGTATATAGTATAACAGACCACGGTGAAATTGACGATACATCAAAAATTTGTGTTCAGAACACAACCACTAGTCT